TGTGACCGTCCATCCTGGATTAAATTAATGGCTCTGGCAACATCAGTCGGAGACATATCCATTTTTAAAGTAAGACACCTCAAAATTTAAACATTAATTTGCAAAAAACAATTTGATAGCTTTTGAAAGCCGTGTATGATATGTCCAAGTATGGGATGATTCAACAAAACTATCACTGTCATTCTCCATAGCCTATGGTTGTAGGTACCTTGTAACACATATGTGTATCTTTTTGAGTAGAGTTTCTCATTTGTTTTGATAATTTATTATTATTGAATCACCATATACTGATGTCATTTTTGCTTTCTTCAATTTAATTTTTAATTCAAAATGTATACAATTCTCCTTCTATATATGTTAAATAACTAAAATTTTATAATTATGTACACTCTTAAATAAATAAAAAATTGAAAAAGAGAGTGGTTTGGCACTGGGTATGTGGGTGGGGCCTCCTCTCTCTTTTTTTTTTTTTTTTTTTTTTTTTTTTTTTTTTTTATAGCCTATGGATGGACCATAGCAACCTTAGTTCTTCATACAGAAAAATATTGGAAATTGCAATGTTTTTTTTTTAATCCATATTTTCCACAAAAATAAATATATCGAGGTGAACCAAAAACAAAACTGTTAAGAATAGATGTGACTTGATAAATAAAACTTAATTTACAACAATGTACGGTTTTGCCACTCTACAGAGTGTCTTGAACTTATTGTAAAACAACATATTTTTGTTTAAACCTGTATATTATAAACGTACATCTATTTTTTACTAATTTCTTAAAATGTGAGCGATTGTCCATTAATTTATCTACAACATTCTTTAATATTCGTTTAAATCCGACATCAAATAAAAAAGTTATTTGCGATTGAAATTCATCGAAAATTTGTGTGGATCGATTATTTTTCCTGTGAGTGTACTTCCTTTACTTTAGGTAGTAAGATTTTTTGCGTTAAACACCTGAATAAAATATAAACAAGTTCAGTTAAAGAAAAATATATGTATGTACCTATTTAAAATAAATACCCAACATTAATATTAAACATTGTAGAAAACGTTAAAAAAAGTAGATTTAGCACATCAAAAATTGTGTATTCAGCTCTGCAATGGCAGCATTTTATGACTTTATTTCTCCTCTCAGCTAGGTATAACCACGTCCAATTTAATTTTCCAGCAGTAAACGCCTTGTTTACGCCATTTAGAAATACATTTATTTATAGACATTTATAATGTCTATTGCAGACTTAGCAACACATTTTTAAATTCCTAAATCTTAGATTTAAAATCTAGTAGTCAAAATATCAATCATTGCTACTACCTACACGTTTATTTCATGTTTTACAAAATAAAATAATATAAAATAACTTCTCCAAACAATTTAGAAGTCTATATTCGACACTCTTGAATATAAAATGTTCAGTATTGAGATCAGTATACAGTATACTGTATACTGTCTATAGACGTTGCGTTATTGTGATTTAGTCAATATGAAGGGTTTTGCGCATGCTTCAATATATGTACGCGCAATTGTTCATTTATTTTGCCGGCTGCCGTGGTGTAGTGAAATGAAGTGGCGGTCTTCTGTTTCTATTGATTCCGGAGACCCTGGTTCAAATTGCGGCTGGGGCGGTCGGTTTTTTTGTAAGAAAAAAATGTTTTTTGTAAGAATTTTTTTATGCAAAACTAGCTTGGTTTATTATTATTTTTAATGCTTCTTGAAATTATATAAAAGTTTGTATAAATATAAATTTTATGGTTTTAAAATTTTCGGAAAAATTCAGCCCGAAAAAAACGAAAAAATTGGGAAAAATTCACTTTGGCAATATTTTTATTTTATTTAAAGGATAATACGAAAAAAATACAAAAGAATTTTTTTGGAATATTTATAAATTTTTATTTATATCGAGAACAAATTTTCCGACGCTGATTATAATCATATAATATTATGATTATAATATTTTAATTCATTATAATAGGTATATTCTGTAACAAGTTTGGAATACGGCATATTCCGCTAGAGTGAAAATTTTGTGACACGAGCCGAAGGCGAGTTTGACGGTTTCACGAGAGCGGAATATGCAATTCCAAACTTGTTTTAGACTATACTTTTTCTACGTTTTCAAAAAATACCATAAACAAGTAATTTAATAGGAAGAAAATGAGGTTGGATCGGTCTAAATTTGTTAGATATTATAATTTAACTTAATAAATGATTCAATATTTTTTAATTCAATATTTTAAATGGACTTAATTTTGCCAAAAGGCAGTGAGTACACTGTTTAAAATATCTGTGGTGTGAAGAGTAATCTTAAAATGGTGTCAAAATCCAACACCAAGTGGTGTTAATATAACACCATGAATTATGGTTGAAAATGTTTTATACTGCAAACACCAAATCGGTGTTTAACTTAAAATATTTGAGAAGTGCACCTACACAGAAAAAGGAATAGCTCATTTGACTATATTAATGTAGTTGGCCCATAAGTATTTATTTAAATCAACTGTGGGAAGGTTAATATAAACAAAGATTAGTTTGACGGTACTAAACCAGATAGTTATTTTATTTTTTTAAATTGGTTAAATTAACCCAGAAAACTTTAGTAAAACCAACCCGCCGTATGGTTCAGTTTACTAAATATGTTGTTTGTAAAATAAGAGTTACTTCTACCTAAAGCACTCTGTTAAAACGATTAAAACAATTTGCCGTGCTTGTTGCATAGTGTGTACCGATCGCGGCAAAGGCGGTGTGGATCACGTGATGTTCTTAAATCTCGCCTCTGTTGACTTACATGAAGAGTATATAAGCTAAGGTAGTCCTTTGCTTTGGTGTGACACTACAAGTTGTTCGATACTAAAGAGACCTTAAATAGGTGAAAACAGCTGTCAATATTTGAATGGGGTAGTTAAATTTTTTCTGACCTATACTTTTTATGGTTTTATTCAAGGCGTTTTGTAATATTAAACATTTCTGTGAAATCAGAATTTCAATTGAGTTTACCGTTTTCGAGATATTTACAAAAAATATAAATTTTTATTACGTCACAAACCTCGCCATGTGACCAACATTCTATGATTTCTATTGGTTGAAAATTACCTTGTTGTCAAGTTGTCTTGTTAACGATTTCATTCGGTTATGTCAGAAAATACCCGAAGAGGTTATGTACAAATACTGTCACTGTCAGTTGAGTGAAAGATGGTCACCAAATGCATTAAGTACCTATCTTCCTTATTACGAGGTATCATATTACTGTTTGATATTTTAGAGTCCAAGATATATCTAAAAGAATATAAAGAACTAGGCATTATACTAATGAAAAGCATTTACGACAAAATATGATTATAATTATAGGTAGGTACTTTATTTGTTTAAAAGCTCCAATGTTCAATGTAACCAACCATTCCACAAGATTCCTCTGCTTTGGAGTCCATTATTAATAAATCACTTATCTAATATCAATTACAAATAACATAACAATAACATTGATTTTCAATAATCTAAATTTAAAAAAAAACATAACTCGAAAAAAAGAAACGTCAAAAAATCAATTCTTCTTCTTCTTCTCAACTAAAATTATAGATCAAGTGGTTTTAAAACTAAAATATTATAACGTGGCGCCATCTATCGTAAGAATCTTAAACTAAACACACTGGCAACCATAGAAAAAGCTGGCAACGTTGTCAATAGCCTAGTGACGTAATTAGGAGATTTTTTTTTGTAAATATCTCGAAAACGGTAAACTCCATTGAAATTCCGATTTCACAGAAATGTTTAAAATTACAAAACGCCTTGAATAAAACCATAAAAAGTATGGGTCAGAAAAAATTTAACTACCCCATTATTTTAAGTTGGTGGAACGCACTAAAAACATTATCTTTAGCGAGTTGAAGGTTCCATTTTTTGAAATAATACCACTGGTAATATACTTGTAATGCGTCAAGGAACTTCCTGTTTCCTTTTTTTCTGTGTAGTATGATTTAATTTGACCAAAAACACATTATATTTAACACTGAAAAGGAGTTCAATTTACACCAGGTAAAATTTATTTTAATACTGTGTGAAAGTTAAATTTACACCATTTTAGTATTTGAATTTACACTGGACCAACGAACCATATTTAACACCATTTTGGTTTGTATCGATACAGACCATGTATGGTGTTAATTTGGTGTTAAAATGGTCATGAAATTTTGAACAGTGTATATTAAACGTTTACCTACGCTTAAATTAATGTTAATTAAAAATAATGTTCAAAATATTTAATTTTTTCCAAAAAAGCAATTTTTTAAAGGACTGGGAAAAAACGAAATCAAACCGTTTTCCCCCCATTTTTCCGTTTTTTTTCGACACTTTAAAACCCGCATAAATTTTGGTTAAATAATAATAATAATAGTAATAATTACAATTATAAACAAGTTGTTCCTGAAATGATACCACATATTCCTAAGACCGATATAATACGATATAACTAAATTTACTTTTATACAAAAGTTGAAAATAACCTTTATAGAGGGTGTCAATGTTAAAAGCTCGTTTTCGATTTTATTAAATAACGGACGGCTGCTTAAGCCGGGTCTACAATTGAGGAGTGATTTTTCAAAAGGCCTTATTTCCATTTTTACTTGAATGTAATTTTTTGACAAATTCCCAAAGGTATGGTTAAAAGGCATATATTAAGGGCGAAATATGACAGCAGGTCTGAAGTATTATTAAATATTCATCAGATTTTTTTTTAAATAATCTATATTGCCCTAACCTATACAGGTTATAGTCATTTTTTTGAAAAATTGTTGCAAATGGAAATACGCAGAACATAAGCTTGCGCAAATCACCCCGCGACGTGGCGATGGAGCAAGGTTCTTTTGTCAGCTGGGTGCTTTGCGCAAGCTTATGTTCTGCGATCTGCGACCTGCGACAATTGTAGACCCGGCTTTACTGCTACCTGCTTTTTGACCATTTCAGTCCCATTTTCTTCAAAAATTAACGTATTTTCGTTGTTTTCAGCAGATCCTTGTTTCTTATTCTTGTGAGAGGAAGAAAAAAAAGCCGCCACCATGGACGCGATCAAGAAGAAGATGCAAGCGATGAAGCTTGAAAAAGACAATGCCGCCGACAAAGCCGACGCGATGGAAGGCCAGGCCAAGGACGCAAACATGCGCGCCGAGAAGGTAATGAAATATTATTATATACAGCGTAAAACCGAATATATCTATATATATATGGGGCGTGGCCTCGCCTCCCTCCAAGGCGCGTCACAGTAGCTTGTGTGATAAACGACATGACGAAAGGTCGAGCAGGTAAGAGGACTTAAAAAATTAAATGATAATAATGCAAAAAATCTCATTAGCGATGCAGGCTATTTGCTTAGCTACTGTGTCGCGAGTTGGAGGGAGACGACGCCACGCCCCATATATATATATATATATATATATATATATATATATATTCGATTTTACTCTGAACGGGCTGTATGTTATGGCTAATGTGCAAACTTGGATAATTTATAAACTAGCTGGATAGTTTATAAACTAGCCAAACTGTCAGCTATTTTAATTGAAAACATATTTTCAACTAAATTAGCGGCTAGTTTACAAAATAACCAAGGATCTTGGCTAATTTACTTGAAATTATTAAAGAAACTAAAATAGCTAGTTTGTATACTATCCAATTCAGTTTGGCTAATATGAAAACCAAAATTTCTAGGAAGACAAAATAGCCAAGCTTTAGCTAGTTTGTAAACTAACCAACCAATCTCTGGCTAATTTATTAAAAAAGTGAGGTTACGGCATTGTTTTTTGTTTTGCCGGCTTAACCCGATTTGTTTTGTGCATTTTAACGTTTTTAAAATGAATCATAAGCAAAATTTTTAAGCTTCCTTGTTAGAAAACTCAAAAACACAACCCTACCGACCCCGCCCCATTGGTCAAATGGTCAAAAATGAGAGAAAAAACCCAAACCAACCCAAACTCAACAACACAACCCAACCGACCCCGCCCCATTGGGCCCCCCCGCCCAATTGAGTAAAAAACCCAACTAAAATGGGCAATAGCCAGAGAATTAATTGGTTAGTTTACAAACTAGCTAAAGCTTGGCTATTTTGTGTTACTAGAAATTTTGGTTTTCATATTAGCCAAATTGAATTGGATAGTATACAAACTATCCAGCTATTTTAGTTTCCCTAATAATTTTAAGTAAATTAGCCAAGATCCTTGGTTATTTTGTAAACTAGCTGCTAATTTAGTTGACTATTTCCCTCGTCTTAATTTCCACCAATCACAAACGCGCAATTTTGAATAACAAATGGTTTCTAGGTGAAAAAACTGTGTGACAGCACCTGTCAGCAGTTTTTTCGAGTTTACCCGCGGCAAAACTTGACAGCTGTTGTCATCAAAAATTGTAATTTATATTTTAATTGTTAGCTGTTACTCATGAAATAGTCTTGTCAAATACCATTCGGGCATCTAATTTTTCCTGTGAAAAAAATCGAAAAAACACAATGCTAAGTAATATTTTTTAACAAAAAGCATTCGTGCAGGTGCAAAAATCCTCCTCTTCGACTCGGATTTTTGTTGCCACCAGCACTCATGCTTTTTGTTAAAATATCACTTAGCAACGTGTTTTTTCGATTATTTTCGGAAAAATTAAATGCCCTTATGATATTACTTACGAAAATATGTTTTCAATTAAAATAGCTGACAGTTTGGCTAGTTTATAAACTATCCAGCTAGTTTATAAACTATCCAAGTTTGCACATTAGCCGTACCATAATATAATAGGGTGGCCCAAAAAAAAAAGAATATTTTTTTTCTCGTCTCTTTTAAAAATATGTTAGTTTATCAGGCTGTAAGAGCCCTGTCAAAATATCAGCTCGATTAAAAAAATTTCCGTCTCGATATTATTTTTTAGGTTGAAAATAATAAAAATTCTGTTAATTTTAAATCAATATTTTGATTTCTTAAGGTCGCTAAATGTTCGTTGATATTTATATTCCGAGTTCGCTCGAAAATACTCTACTTTGAAAGTTAAAAAAATCTTGAGCGACCTTTAGAAATCAAAATATCGATTTGAAATTTTCAGAATCATTATTATTTTCAAATTAAAAAATAATATCGGAAGGAGATAAAAAATTAAAATAAAAAAAAATCCAATTTTTGACGATTTTGGAAATTTTTAAAAATCTTGAATGACCCCGAAAAATGTTTTAATGGAGCTGATCTTTTGATAGGGAAATTTTCAGAATCATTATTATTTTCAAATTAAAAAATAATATCGGAACGAGAAAAAAAATTAAAATTAAAAAAAACCAATTTTTGAGTGCTTTGAACTATCTTATTTTCTTCTAATGGATTCACACAATGCCTAAAAAATGGAACTTGCCTTAGAAAGTTGTTATTCAGCTATTCCCAGCAGTCTAAACTTGTCAAAATTCGTTTTTCTCAAATAGTTCAAAGAACTCTAGATTGATCTTTATGATGATGCATTTTCTGATGACGAAACATCGAAAGGTCAATTCGATGATGATGTCCGATTCAGAAATTTCTCAGGATTCTAAATATGTAAAAATATATAGGGCGTTCCATTCAAAAATCGAAAGTTAATATCATTTCCGGCGAAACCGGAAGTTCAAAAAATTCATTTTGTACCTTTATAAGTGGCATTTTATATCCTAACTAACCATGCTAAATTTCATGTGTCTATCTTTATAAATAAAAAAGTTACAGGGGTGCGCCTATTCCCAGATACACCCGGTATATATATATATATATATATATATATATATATATTATATGTACAATATGTATAATAAATAAATATATCATGTCCAAGTTGAAAAATACAGGAAAATATTTCCTACGATTTTTTCATAAATTCAACCATTTAAATGATGTTACATCAACACAACCTTCTCCAAATATTTCCATAAAAATGTTATAAACATAATAATTAATGAGGAACCATTCTAATAGTAAACTTATCACAGGTCAATGAAGAAGTTCGTGACCTCCAGAAGAAGCTCACCCAAATCGAGAACGACCTCACCACCAACAAGAACGGTTTGGAACAGGCCAACAAAGACTTGGAAGAGAAAGAGAAGGTCTTGACCAACAAGGAGGCCGAATGCGCCAGCTTGAACCGCAAAGTCCAGGTCATTGAGGAGGATTTGGAACGTTCTGAAGAGCGTTTGGGTACCGCTACCACCAAGCTGGCCGAAGCTTCACAGGCCGCTGACGAGAGCTCACGGTAAGAACAGTTTTTTTAAATGGATAAATCCAAAAATGTTTTATAATATTCATAAAGAGAAGTCCTTCTATTTTAATTAAAAAATTCAAAGATATTAACATCATTAAATATGTATTCCTGGTCTATTTTTTATCAAGGTTAATTATTAAGATTAATTAATCTTTTTTAATATGAATCTAATTATAGTTATAAGGTACCCACCCCATTTGTATTTTCTCCACTAAGCGGTAACTTATGTGACTTTTCTTGGCTTTTTAAATTTTGTAAACCATCCGGCAACGTGGGATATAAATCGGATTGCATACATTTAAATAACAAGCCTATTTTAAGATTATGTTTCGAACAATTTGTAAAAATAATTAAAATTGCGTGATTTACTTAAGAACTTATGTGACTACTAAATAAACATACTCTTCTGATTTTAACAATAACCATAGATCTCACGTTAAGTATTTAATGTTAATTGTTATAACAAAATAACCAATAACAAATTACAAAATAGGTATATGATACTTTGACTTCACTGCTATGTTGCCAAGTCCCAAAAATGTTACCGCATTGTAGAAAGTAACTTATGGGACCAAAAACAGGATGACCAAACTAAAGCTCAAAAAAATACATAAAATAAATCATGTTAAGGTCAAAATCTCTTTTAAAACGAAAATACTACATTATTAATTTGTATTTTTAGTTTAAAAATACTGTTTTTTTAATAGTGTCTGTACAATTTAATTTTAAAGTATAATAAAACTGTTGGTAACAGTAACTTATGTGACATTTTCGTCTTAGAACGTATTTTTTTTTAAAATGAGCAAAAATTTTTATTTTTTTAGTAATGGCGTTTATAAGAAAGGAGTTATTAAGTCAAATTAAAATCATTGTTTCACAAAATTACGGTGCACCGTCTTAAATCGTAATTTTGTAGTCATGACTACAAAATTACGATTTAAGACGGAATTACCCTATAGTAGGTACTTAGGGGCGTAGAAGCGGGGGGGCGGTTGACAATGCCCACCCAAATGATAAGGGGGAGAGGGGGGTTACTTGATAATAAATGTACCCTCCAAATTCTTTGAAAAAATCTACCGTGTACCGTCTATGTTATTCTTAATTACGAGGAAATGCTAAAATCGTTTTTATCGTGTGCTAAAATGATCAGCTTGAGCTTTATTAACGTAATAACGAATTTTTTTGCTAATAAGACAAGAAATCGCATATTACCCTTGTTATTCTTACGGTAATATGCAAGAATGGCCTTTATTATTTTCACCCATTTGGTGCTAAACAATAAGGATGGTAGTCGGTTGCGCCACCCCCCAACTTAAAACCGTTCCTGCGGCAATAGACATATCCTGGAAACAAACGTGTTGAGTATAGTTATTGATATATTGATAAACATCCAAAGATCAAATTGTCTCATTTAAAAAGCACCTAATATGATTATTGCATTAATAATCATTATGCTGAAGCTTCATTTTGACAGTTAAATAACCTTTATCAATAAATTATAAATAAAACATATTTTTTCCTATAAACAAAATGGACCGAGGAGATAACATGTCTGATACTGAAGATGAAATTAAAACACCTGCAGAGTACTATAGTTGCTTAGAGTACCTACCTAAATGATTTCAAATGTGTTCAAGTAACTCAGGTTTTGTATTTTGTTACAGTATGTGCAAGGTATTGGAAAACCGTTCTCAACAGGATGAAGAACGTATGGACCAACTCACTAACCAATTGAAGGAAGCCCGTATGCTCGCTGAAGATGCCGACAACAAATCTGATGAAGTTTCCCGCAAACTTGCCTTCGTTGAAGACGAGCTCGAAGTAGCTGAAGACCGTGTCAAAGGTACAACAATATCAACTACTAATTAAACATTAACTACTGGAAAGCATCTGGTATTATCTAGAGAAAATCATTATTCAATAACAATAAGAAATTAGTAATTACCAATCAGATCCTGAATTCATAAAAAAATACTTTGTAAATAACACAAATCTACAAAGATTATATTCTTCCAAAAGTTTTTGAAGTTTTTCATCCAATTTTAACATCAGAATTGCTCCACCCCATCAGGTTTTGGACATTCTAACCTAGGTAGAGTAAACTCTTCCCCATAAAAATCCATTTTGATTTTTTTCAATAACCAGGATATTATATCCTTTTTGAAAAACCATTACTTGAAATGTATGAGTTTGGTTTGTGAAAAATTTCATTAATCGTTTCGATCATATATTTAAACGATTTCTCGGAGACAGTAAAATATATTGAAACCAAAAAAAAAAGGATTTTACCCAAGCAACATGTTTAGTTCCAAAAACCATTACCAAAGTGGTGATAACTTTAAATTAGTTAAGTATACTAAACAGCTACTTTAATTTTTACTTAAAAGTAATTCTAACTTTTAAATAGCAATATTTTGTAACAGAAACTTCATTCTTTTCTTAAATGGTTACTATAAAGTAATAAACATTTAAGTAAAACTTGGTTGCCTCCAAGAAGATTTTGCAACTTTAAAAAAGGTGTTATAAGTAAAAAACTTTCAAGTAAATTTAATTCGTAACAGTTACCTAAAGATTACATTATAATTATTTTTACTTTGTAGTCCCCTTGCAAGTTAAAATCTCGAAACTGGAACATGAGTTAAAAACTACAAAGTTAATAACTTAAAAGTTATTATTTTAGTATTTGGAACGTTTATGGTACTAACCAAAACTACCGTAAAGTAAATTAAGGTGGAAAAAACTTTAAAGTGGCGATTATTATTATTATAATTTTGTTGGTAATTACCAACAAAATTATAATATATTATAATATTATAATAGACGGTATTAATAATTAAATAAAAAATTAATATTAAATATTAAGATTTTTTTATTTATAAACATTATTAAATAAATAATTTGTTTATAATTAAATATTGATGAAGCGCAGTTATTTTACAAAAACTAAATTCATACGTTCAACAGTAAAATTTAAAGGGTTTATAATTTTACCTGCCTAATTAAACATTATATTGTTATTCTGGAAGTTATAATTTATAAACTACCAGTACATATTTAATAAACGACGACATTGAAAAGCCAAGTCCGTAGTGGTTCCGATTAAAAAAGGAAGGATAGTATAATCTAATATAAGTTTGACAAAGACAGTTAATATGTTCATGTTCATGTTCATGTTCATGTTCGATATACAGGGCGACAAAATTTGAAATTTAAAACTGATTTTTTTAAATAATTCGAGTAATTGATAAGATATTAAGTTCAAATTCGGTACACTACTTCAACATAGTTACATGTTCTGAGACCAACAAAACAAAAAAACAATTGTCAAATAATCAAAATAGGGGGGGTCCAGTACTCACTGACTCCCCCTATTTTTAGTACGTGCGCCAATGACTTCCAAACGGTATTTTTTCTGGTAATCATTTATTGTTGTAAAAAAAATTGTCTCTTATAAAATTTTGATAAAATGATTTGTTTTAGAGATAATTTGTAAAGTATGGGTCAGTCCATATCAAATCAACTAAAGGTTCTTCCCCCACCATCTCCGATTTTGATAATTTTTGGTAAATTTGTTTACCTCACCAAAAAACTCAAAAATCCCATATATGAATTTTTTTCGATGGGTGGTTTTTGTTTTATTGATTTTTGAAAATCAAAAAATTCCGATAAATTTGGGTTTTGCAAGTACTTACAAAAATAGCGATATCTCGTAAACTATTAAAAGTAGAAAGGTGAGTGATGGCTTATTTTAAAGGCCTATTAGACCCCTTTTTTATGATATTTCACATGACCTAATTTTTTTCAAAAAAAAAATTAAATTTCAAAAATTTGATATGGATTGACCCATACTTTAAAAATTATCTCTAAAACAAATCATTTTATCAAAATTTTATAAGGGACAAAAAATTTTCAACAATAAATGATTACCTGAAAAAATACCATTTGGAAGTTATTGGCGCACGTACTAAAAAATAGGGGGAGTCAGTGAGTACTGGACCCCCTATTTTGATTATTTGACTATTGTTTTTTGATTTGTTGGTCTCAAAATTTGTAACTATTTATGTTGAAGTAGTGTACCGAATTTAAACTTAATATCTTATCAATTACTTGAATTATTGAAAAAAATCAGTTTTAAATTTCAAACTTTGTCGCCCTGTATATCGAACATGAAGCTCTAAATTGAAAAGTGGTATTATGAAAGTCTTATTGTTTTAACTTAAAGAATATATGGTTAACGGATTGACCTCCTTTTCCCGGACACCCTGTAGAAGTAAAGAAGTAAACATAAAAGTAATTATAACGCTCTAGCAACGATATTGAAACGTTCTAGTAACGTAGCAGCTACGTTCCAAATAGTAGCAGGGTTTATAGCTAGTGACATGTTTGTTGCCTTTTTGGAACTCAATAATTGATTCCCACTTTAGTCGTAACTTAGTAATGAAAGAGTAATATAAAGAGACCGGCGACTGTCGCAAAACACTTTAAGTTTCTTCAATAGTCCCACATACGTAACAAATACTTAAATTGTTGCTTGGGTAAAGAGTTCTAGAAATTCTTTTTGGACTCTAGTTTATATGTAAATACTTATTATAGTTTGTATAATGCTAATTTGATATTGAACTTTTCTTCAAAAGGTGGAGATGCCAAGATCATGGAGTTGGAAGAAGAATTGAAAGTAGTAGGTAACTCCCTCAAATCTTTGGAAGTATCCGAAGAAAAGGCCAACCAAAGAGTGGAAGAATTCAAGAAACAACTCAAGACTTTGACCGTCAAACTAAAGGAAGCAGAAGCTCGTGCAGAGTTCGCCGAAAAGACCGTCAAGAAGTTGCAGAAGGAAGTCGACAGGCTTGAAGGTAAAAAAGAGAGACAAGTTTTATTTTTGGCAAAATGCTTTTTACACTTTGAAGTGTCTCAAAAGTGTTTAAAAGTAGATTTAACATTTTTGAGACATAAACGTAATGAAAGTGGTACTGTAATATAGGCAACCCAGATACTCTTGCTGAGTACTGTACTGCCTATATTTAAAGCAGTTCTAGGTATATTTTGCAGCTTTTTTATTATTTTGCTTGCTTTTTCAGATTCCGTTCTGCGCGAAAAGAACAAATACTTTGCCATTGTTACTGATATTGACAAGACATTCGTTGAAATGTCCTCACAACAAAAGAAATAAACATAATTTACATTACATTACACATAAAAATTACACAATTGCATAAAAATTTAGTACATTTACTAGTAGTTACGGGTACGTGGTAATGTGTTAAGGTGTTTCCATTTATTATACTCGTATAAGATGTTTCCAAAGTTCTCATACACTGTTTTATAAATTAAAATCTTAAATAAAATATTTCGGATACATTTCCAAATAACTAATTACTTCAGAATTTTCTCAGCGAAATATAACACAGAATACATTCGCCTTTTGTGTATATTTTCTTATCTGAAAAACAGTTTTATACCCGAAGGTGTACTTTCAAGAAATACGCGTGTTTTTCTGTAATAGGAAAGACTGAGCTCACAGGTGAAATGTCTGTAATAAACGGAATTTGTTTTCAAAGAAATATCTTAAAAAAAATGGACCTAATAAATATAACAAGACCAATAGCGACTCTTTTGGAATAAGCTTAGCAACATAAAGGACGAATTAAGGACATAAATGAGTAATTTTAAAATTTCATTATTGCTTTCTTAAAAATAAAGTATTTTTCTGGAATGCGTTAAGATCAAGGTTCTTTATTTAATGGGTTTAGATATTAACACATTACCACAAAACTAGATAGTACCTAAATGACTTCCTTAATTAATTATCGTTCAGTAGCAAAACGTTTTATATTATGATATTCTGGTGGATATGTACTTTTTAGGTTAATCTTTTATTTATTAGTAACATTTAACACAAAATACCACACTTTTTACTTCCCTGCTTACGCAACTAACTTATATTTTGCTTACTGCCGCTGTGGATTGCTTATATTGAGGTAGGATTATATGTTTTGTGATTGTTTAAAAACATTAACACTCTTTATTTTTTTAAATTCCATTTAAGAACAAATGAAGTTATTTAACATTCCCAAAATATTTTTTTTTTCACCTAAGCAGTGTTGTAACGTACTTAGTTACAAGTTTGTTTGTGTAACTAGTTACAAATTCTAAGTAACTAGGTGTGTTAAGATACAAAGATACATTTTTAATTAAACTGCGACTATTATTTATTAAAAAAAAATTATAAAAAATTAGTTATTTTAAATTTAATATTATAAAAAAAATAAAAATAATAAACATGTAAATTTTTGTTGTCACTTTAAAGTATCTAGATAAGGTATCTGTAATTCAGATACATATTTTAACTGTAACTGTAACTGTAGCTAGATACTGAAAATATTGTAACTGTTACAACACTGCATCTAGATATAAAAAAAATTCCGAGAAGGTTATGTCAAAAATTAATCACATACTAGAATCAAGTAGAAAATTCCTTAATCTTCTTTTTCCCATTCAATTTCCATTTTTTATTTAATTAATTTATATGAGTTTTATATAGACAAGTTCTGAGCAAGCAGAATTTAAATTGAAGTTTGCGAAAAAAAGTTAGTTTTTTAGTGTGCCCCCAGCCTCCTGCTCCCCCAATTTAAGATAATTCAAATTAAAGTGGTGCAATTTATAATTCTCTATAGTTTATCAACAAATTTTAAAATTTATTTAAATAGTCCAAGTATTACAGATTTTATACCATTTCTATTTTTTTAAATTTAGTAAAAGAAATAATAAAAATTTAAAATGGTATATAAAACCTGTATTTTTTTAATAAAATTTAAAATTTGTCGATAAACTTCAGTGAATTAAATATTGTACCACTTTAATTTGAATTATCTTAATCTGGGGGGCAGGAGGCTGGGGGGCCCCACTTAAAAACTAACTTTTTTTTGCAAACTTCAATTTAAATTCTGCTTGCGCAGAACTTGTCTATATAATGTCATTATAAACACATATAAATTTGATGTGGGTCCAATGTCTAATAACTGAGATATGGGTGTGCCCAAATCTTATTCATCTTCTTTTCTTTGTTCATTAAAATAAAAATTAAAAAAATAATATTCTTATATTTTTTATAATTCATTTCATTTCATTCTCTTCCTATTCCCCATCTTCTTCATTTTATAACCTTTTTTTATTTTCTTTATCTTCTCTATCTCATCCACTTTTTTAAACTTATTTTTCTTTATTTGTTTTATCTTCTTCATGAAAGTACTTGAATTTGTGATTTTCCTGTCTCCATAACTTTTTTCATCGACTTCGTTTTATTCATCTTTTTTTTCTTGTTCATCAAAATTTCTCTATATGCTTTATTTTCCTAACTTTATTTTTTTTTTCTTTATCTAATTCACCTTTTCATTTTATTTTCATTATGTTCATTCTCTTAATCTTCTTTAAATTTAACTTCTTACCCGTTCTCATTTACTATACCTACCTTTCTACTTCATTTTCTCCAATGTATATTAAATGTCCACTTATTATGATATATAAAATTAGAACGCTCTTTTTTTAAATATGTCACAGGAATATTTTTTTTAAAAGTTTTATATGTTATAAATATAAATTTAAAAATATTTTAATGCAAAAGCTACCGTAAAAGTTGACATTGATGTATAACATATAATTTCCTTGAATATAAAATTGTTCTGGAAATAAGAAATAAACGCTACATGAATTTAAAATACTCATGTAAAATTTATCTGAAATAGAGTTGTGCGATTAACTTTATTCACTAAATTATTTACTTAAATGATAAAAACTATTTTTTGTGCAATTGCATTTCCCAACGCGTTTATTAAAATAATTAAGGAACTCTGGTTCAAGAAAGTTATTTTTTCTATTTTTGCCCATTTTAAAACCATTTTACTAATATTTCTTTGAACTTTTAGATGAACTTGGAATCAACAAGGACAGATACAAGTCCCTCGCCGACGAAATGGACTCAACCTTCGCCGAATTGGCCGGTTATTAAGTCCAGCAAGTCCATTTTTAATATCTATCACACAATCACATCCATGTAATCCCTGGAGAAAATTTAAAAAGTCCATGACGTATTCCATCAAAAATCGTGGTCCTTTCAAAATACTTATACAATGATGTATTTATTTATATATTATTTAATTTATTTTTAAAACTAAACATTTTACCATTTTGTTGTCTGTCGGATATAAAATATATATTGTGAATATTTTTAGTGTTGATATATTTTAATTTACTGCCCTAACGCCTGAGTCACGTATGTACAGCTTTATGTTACGCCTAGATAGCACTTGGTAAAGAATTTGTTTAATAAATATTATCACTAATTTTATTGATTTATTTTTATCATTATTTACAAAAGTTTTCTTTTTAGTTCGTTTGTAACGCTGAAGCTTTTAAGCCTTTTGGACATACTGCCTATTTACTAATGTAGCTTCGTCGGCACAATAGCTTATTAAAGAAGTTTTGTAATGGACGAGTGCGACAAAAGGTCTTATGACATGAGTTCTATATGCTATTTTATCTATTTTGCAAAAATTCCATAAAAAAAATTAATTTTATACCTAAAATTTAATTTGGTCGAATTTTACTTTAGATAGTTGGTATCACAGTCATTGGTTTGACAGTTAATGTCAAAATCGATTCGCCATGCCGTCCTTAATTTACTTATTTACAATAAGCGGCTGTCAATTTTCTTTGGTGTTAAACAAAATTGATTGCCAGAAAAGTCTCGTAAGTAATAAAAAAATCATAAAAATATTATAATTAATAGGCAAAATATTATGCTGTTTAAAGTATCGCCAACCTATAAAATCAAAATTTTGGGTGGGATAAAGTATCTCATTACAGCACTGAAAGCGGTGTTATAATGAAGTCATTATGAACGCAAAATAGATGAAGTATTATTTATTATTGTATCTCGTTTTATGTAACATTCAAATCCAAACCCTTTATTTAAATTTTAATTAAAATTATTTTTTATTGAGGCATAATCTAAAGAATTTCCGGGTAAGAACAAAAAACGCTTTATAGAACTTAAAGGTTTCCCATCTCTTAAAAATTTGCTTTTTTTAATATTTTGAATCATTCAAACTAAAATATTGACCTTTCGACTCATACGCAAGCAATTTTCTAATACACAAGAACAAACGATAATAATATCTTCACTGTCACGTTTTGATCTTATATTTTAAAAAAACTATATTTCAATAACACGTGATCTTTACTTGTAAATATAAATTATTACATTACATACACGAGATGGATCTTTGCAATAACGCTTATGCAATCCTTATTAAAATAAATGAATAAATAAAATAATTTCAAAGAAGAATTTAAATATTTTTTATTAATTAGTGGAGTAAGCAAACCAAAAACAATATTTTGGCCATAATTGGGGGTGAGCGATATTATTTTCTCAGACAATAATTTGTTAGGACAAATTTCTTAGTAATAATTTCGCACACAATAATTTATCACTGCAATAATTTCTCAATTTTTGCAATGAGTTATTTTGGCTTTGAGTAATGTTTGCAATAAGAAACTTTTACATAAGACTTGAAGTTTTATTTTGACTGATATCTTGTAGGTACAAATCAAATCAATACTTAATATTCCTTAATTACGGAATTATTCGACACATTGACGACATTGTCTATGAAGATAAATTTGACACATTGACGCATCGCGATAATATTAAGTTAATTTACTTTATGCACGATGACATTATAATATGACAATTATAACAAAAATTCTTTGACGTAAACGTCTTTTTATAGCCCGCGGGCGTTATTATGGCCCAGCGGGCTATAATGAAACGTCAAAAATTAAAAACAACAATGTTACACCATTTGATATATTCGAAGTAAGTTTTTTCGTATAAAGATTTTGATTTTTCCGGCAGCAGGCCGCAATTTTTCGCCTTTTCAGCTGCTTCCTCAATTTCATTCATCTTTAAACTTTAAAACTTACTGATGTCAGTTGACATTATATTATGACAATTATTACAAAAATTCTTTGACGTAAACGTCTTTGAAAAACATTAATATATTAAAAATAATAATAAATTAATCGTGCATAAAGTTTTGTATGCATTGCTGGCATAACTGGTTTTTATGGTCCTACGACGCTTTTCTAGCCCTCGCGCTAACGCGCTCGGGCTCGAAATAGCGCCTCGGACCATAAAAACCTTATTATGCCCTTAATACATAAATAACTATTATCTACTCCTACATTGACGAGCTGTGACTTTATGGCGTTTTATTGACGGGCTGAAGTTAACAACAGTGGCTTTTCGACATTTTACGCCACGGGCTGAAGTTAGCTTTATTATAAATTGGGAAAAAGTGAGGTTAAATTCGGGTGACAGTTGACAGATGTCAAAATTTTAACAAATAAAATTGTCTTTAAATTCTGTTTTGTGTTCGTCGTAGATAAAGTATAGTATGCAACTCGTTTATAAACTTAGACACTCGTTTTTATTAAACACTCGTTCGCAAGCTTCGCTCGTGCTTAATTAAACTCGTAACTAAAATGGCGTTTATAAAACTTGATACATAATATACTATTAAAAAATGGTTCAGATATTAAATAGTATATTATGTATCAAGTTTTATAAACGCCATTTTAGTCACGAATTTTAATTAGGCTAAAAAAAAGTTTATAAACGAGTTGCATTCTATTCTTTTTTTACGACAAGTACCTATTATTTAAATAAAATATTTGTATAGAGCGACATCTATAAAAAAAATAGAGTAACGTACAATTTATAACTTAGGAATCTTTATTACCGGCGCGCCAGTCTTAATATAAAATTTGTATGTCTAAAACGAAAGTTATCCCTTGAAAATGGACTAACAACCGTTTAAATGATGATAAAGAAGCAGTTTCTCACAGTGAAAGTGAAAAGAATGTTTTATGGGCACTTCACTATGAAGTCCTTAACCGAAATTTTTAATGCCTTTAGTTAAATCCAGTTTACTACCGTCAAATCAAAAGGTCAGTACAAACTTGCATATAAACTGTTCAAATAGATATTGGCGTTCAGGAACTATTTAATACTTTTTATTTTTTGTTAATAAAATAATTTTCACATTATTATTTCAAAAGAAGCCTGTGACTAAAAACCTGTTGCCAACTTTAGCCCGTGACTAAAACGCCATAAAGCCACAACTTGTCAATGGGTATTTAAAACTTAGTGTCATGGAAACATGTACTATAATGGGCATTTTAAAGGTGGAAGTAGAAAAATATTTTATTTGATTGTTTTGAGTTTTAGTTGATTTTATGAAAATTGTTTTATGTTTAAAGGTTTATATAAGGAAATGATTTTAAACATTAGACGAAATTAATAATTCATTGTTGAAAGTGAGTAGGTTAAATTTTGGAAGTAAATATCACAAGGAGTTGAGAGAACCGTAAAATGGTTAGTTCGAAAAGCGAGTCTTCAAAAAAAAAAACGAAATTACGAATTAAATGTGGAAGATATCTTTAATTGCAAAGCAAATAAAAAGAGATGAGAGATGAGATAATAATTAAATAAAACAAAATTAAATTGATTCTGATTTTGAGGATGGTTTTTAATTTGCATTTAAAATTAAAAGTACATTTATTTATTCATCGTGAAAATAATTAATTGGCATCAAACAAATTTCAAACTCTCCTTCGTTAAAATTACTAAGCCCACAAGCACTTATTCTAATAATTTCATTTACTTTTTTACATTAATCAGAGTTTTCTCCAAGTTTTATAAATAATTTGGGTTTAACAACCACTTGTGAAAGTATGTTTTTTTTTGTATTTTTTATGTACACAGAAAAAACGCTTTGATATAGTCAATAACAATGCTATAATTGATTGTTTTTTCATTTCTCCAATAAAAGTTAAAGTTTATTCAATCAAATATGTTTGGAGCAATTGAGGGTAAGGGATTGATGTTATTACAAATATTATATTCAGCCCATAACAAAATATTTTCAAGTTAATTGTGTAGTTCCTTGAAAATTTTAGAAATGATTGAATTCAAAGTTTATGTGATCAAGGTAAAATTAACAATATTTAATTAAATATAAAATTGATTTATATTAAAAGTTATAATGCTTCAACCAAAAATTAAAAACAAATGAAATGAGAATAGTTTTTGTTTCTTTTAATGTTTATGATTTTTATTCCAATGGAAACTAAGGTAAAGTAAGTTTTTACTGTCTTACAGTGAATACCAATGTTTTCACTGTCTTGAAAAATACTTGTTATTTGCCCAATTATCATTCCCATTTTTTCAATGCGGCCTATATTCAATTTAATGATTGCTAAAATTCAGACAAACTCGCTAGGGCATCCCCTGCCACACCACACATCGGCAACCTGCAATGTGATCAACATATTAATCGGTATTTCTGATGACGCCGATTGATCTAAGTGTATGGGTTATCTCTGGTTTAGGTAGTGTTTGGTTGTTTGTTATATTTGCTAATTTGTTGGGGGTTGTACTTCCTAATCCAGAATTTTCAAGGTAAGTTGTACATGTTTTTTAATTATATGTCCGCCATGCATTATCCAGTAATTTAATTTCTCAATTATATCTAAATGATAACAAAAAGGTAAATGTATGTGTATAGGTATGTACCATGGACACAGTTTATCTTTATATTCAGTGTCATGCCTTAAAATGGCTATTTTGCTTAAATGGACGTTTTTATTTATTTATAAAAAAACTTCTCAAGTCTTTTAGCCCATCATGATATCCTTGCAGAGCGTCCTGAAAGTATATATTGCTTTAGGACTTTCAGCAATCTTTAGGATTCGCCTCTAAATACATAAGATGAAATTCCTATTTCGTTTTAGAATAACCATGTGCCATGGCAGACAGGTTTGCACAAATAAAAGTAAGACAATTATTCATTTGATCATAGCTGTACGTAATTCAGTTATTGCAAATACAGTACACCATTGCCTCAAAATTCCTATTTCGTTTTAGAATAACCATGTGCCATGGCAGACAGGTTTGCACAAATAAAAGTAAGATCATTTGATCATAGCTGTACGTAATTCAGTTATTGCAAATACAGTACACCATTGCCTCAATGGTTAACTCATTCACATATAAAAGCTTTTTCTCTGGGTAATATTTATTAATTGATGTTTAAAATATTTATTCCGAGACTAAAATTGTTTAATTTGGTTTACCTACTGTTTTTAACTCATAACAAAAAATATAATTTTTCAAATTTTAAGCATTGCATGCGCTTCTAAAAAGATATAATTTTTAAAAAACCAATAATTTTGAAGACAAATAATTAAAAAAAAATCGATACACCGCGACCCTTGTAGTAGATTTTTTTAAGGAAATATTTTTTTCCAAATAAATTTAATTCCACTACCCCAATAATTCCATAATTCCTAATACTGTTATAGTGCAAAAAAACAAACACTGTTATAAAAATCAGATTTGTTTACATGAGTTTGCAGTTTGTTAATTTTATTTTGTAAAATTTTACCATATTTTTTTGTAGAAAACCAGGGTTTGTGATTATTTTAACAAAGAAAAATATTTTACCGAAAATTTTGTGAAGGTAATACCTATGTAATTTTGTAAGCATTATGTTAATATTAAAGGTTACAGAATATTTTGTTAATGTTTAACAAATTATTTCGTTGAAAAAGTCCAGAGTGTTTATAATATATTACCAGAAATCTTTTATTGTTGGTATTCGGATTCCTTATACCTATTTAACGAGTGTGCGAAGTGCGAAGTATCCGAAAAAAGATGCCATCACTGGTTTTCAAACTGAAATTAGGGGATACAGTAAAGTGAGTTAAAGTTACGAAATACTTGAGTAAGGGCCGGTTAATCAATCTCTGGTTAAGTTCCAGTTAGTCTATCTGACAGTTAAATTCCATATCGATCGTTGTGAGAACAATGCATTGGTATCCATGGAAATAACTATAGTTATTTCCATGGATACCAATGCATTGTTCTCACAACGATCGATATGGAATTTAACTGTCAGATAGACTAACTGGAACTTAACCAGAGATTGATTAACCGGCCCTTACTCAATTCTCAACTCAATTATAATTGCAACTTTAAGTAAATGTAGTACTAATAGTTATATTGTACCAAATTTCTTTATAATTTGATGATTTCAGAACAGTGTGTTATTTAATTGTGTGTATAGATATATATAACTTTTTAAAAACCAATAATTTTTGAAAAAAATAATTACCAAAAAATCGATTGTAGTAAATTTTTTCATGGAAACATTTTTTTCTAAATAAATGTATTCCCACTACCCCAATAATTCCATAATTCATGATAATGTTATGGAGCAAAAAAACAAAGCCAAACAAAAACTTTTCTCCCGTTAACAACGGTGTATGTGCGCCGCATATAACCGACCCAACGTTGTATACACAGTGGTTGTATACACTGAGGAAAAAATCTAATGCCTGTTATAAAAATATAATATTCCTTATAAGATTTCTCTATTATTATTATTGAATTTTTTTAGCCAGATTGCTATGTGTATTTGAAAAGTCTTAATTTTATGTAGTGGATAATACTTTTTACAAACTCTGTTTATTCTCTTTATTAGCAATTTAGTTACTTTAATAAAATATGTCATATACGAAATTATGCATTTTTCATACGAATTATTATACTTACTTGCTGACAGGATAAGGGTCGTTATATAAAAAGTTCAAATTTTATAAATTTTATACGTTTATTATAAAAGAACAGGTACATGAAATAAATAAAACATAAATAAACAGACAGTAAATCAAAATTATGCATGTCGAAACTAAAATAAAACAAGAGTAAAAATATTCCTACTTACAAAAACCCCAAAGCGTGTCACTGCAATTTTTAAAATTATTATTTGGAAAATGTATTTTTTTAATTTTAAGTAAAATCGTTTGTTTTGTTTTAATAATTTTTATCATGATTTTTTATTAAAATACCTTGATTAAAATCATGATTTAAATCGTTAATTTTAATCAACTAATTAAATTAAAATCTCAACCTTATAAATTTCTGTTAAAACAAAGCTATAAGTACCTTTAACCATGGGCGGATCTACGCATGGGCATTATGGGCTGCAGCCCAGGGCCCCGTCTGATCGAGGTCCGCCTACGCAAGAATATAAATCATACTGATAAATGGACTATTTAATAATTGAATAAAGGCTAAATATTGAGTCTGTTAAAATTTCAGCTCTTAGTATTATTATTAAGCACTTTGGAATTACATGTATATCTTTTTAACGGATTAATAAAAACAATATAGGTATTTTAAAAATATTATTTTTATATATAAATATTTTTTGCATAAAATTGATTAGATTTATTATAAAATAATAAGAGACCTCTTTGTAAAGCGTTTACTTTAGATAATCTTATTTTATAATAAATCTACTTGTTCAAAAGTTATTCCAGCCTAAAATTACATTTATAATAAAGTTTTTCTTACTTTTCCGCTAAAACTATGACTTATACCAAAACGTTATAGGACTGGTTATCATTTTATTTTTTAAAAAAATTTGTAATTTTATAATTTTTAAAGTTTATAGTTACTGATTTTACAAATTAATATTTCTGATTAAAATACCTACTAGGTACCTAATAATTTTAAAAAAATATAAATTTTATGCAAAAAATATTTGTATGTATAAATTACCAATAATTACCTAATTACCTAATAATTTTAAAAAAATATCAATTTTATGCAAAAAATATTTGTATGTATAAATTACCAGTATTCTGGTTAAACCAGTAAATTATAAATAAAACATGACATATTTTTATTGAAAATAAAATTATCTACAAAAAATGTATGATCATTGTTAACAATTTGTATGAATTTGTCTTAAGTCTTAAATAACTTTTTAACGAGTAGATTTATTATAAAATAATAATTAAACTTAATTTAAACGTAAAATCGCGATAAGAAACCAATAATATCAATGGGTGATATTTCAACAGGCTCATGGGCCAATTAAATTTAATAGAAAAAAATAGTCGATTTTTGTTAATATTTTTTTTACATAATTTTTTTGAATTTTTATTTTTGACGAAGTATTTGTTGTTGTTTTATATTTATGCATATATAATTATTGATAAGCCCCAAAGAGCTTTAGCTCAGGGCCCCCAAAGTCAACGGTCCGCCCCTGTACTTAACTACCTATTTTCAAAATATTATCCAATAAATGGTAAAACGGCGCGCCATAGAATACATTATTGGGGAATATAGGTATTAGATATATGTAGGTGAGTACAGGGTGAACCAAGTAAGGGGACCCATATATATACTTACCTCAGAAACTACTGTCCCAAAAAATGTGTAGAGAAGAAAAATTTATGTAGGTAGTATATTTTTAATATTATACACTCGCACGCAAAATAATCGATCCACACAAACTTTCGATGAATTTCAATCGCAAATTGTAGATACATTAATGGAGAATCGCTCACATTTTAAAAATTGCTAAAAAATACACGTACGTTTATAATATACAGGTTTAAACAAAAGTATGTTTTTTACCATAAGTTTAAGTAGAGTGGCTAAACCGTATATTGTTCTAAATTAAGTTTTAATTATCAAGCCACATCTATTTTTAACAGTTTTGTTTTTGGTTCACCTTGATATATTTATTTTTGTGGAAAATTTGGATTTAAAAAAAAAAACATTGCAATTTCCAATATTTTCCTGTATGAAGAACTAAGGTTGAGAGGATGACAGTGACAGTTTTGTTGAATCATGGACATGTCATATACAGCTTTCAAAATGTATCAAATTGTTTTTTTGTAAATTAATGTGTTAATTTTGAGGTGTCTTCTTACTTTTAAAAATGTCTCCGACTGATGTTGCCCTTGGTACTTTACTTCTTGTGACGTTTAAAACACTTGCCACGTAATACTGTGACCGTACATCCTGAATTAAATTAATGGCTCTGGCAACATTAGAAGACACCTCAAAATTTAAAGTAGCTGCTTAGTATACCTAACTAATTTAATGTTATCACCACTTTGGTAATGGTTTTTGGAACCAAAAATGCTGCTTGGGTTGTTTCATAAACGAATATGATTCTAACTAAGCATCCTCTTATTGTCTTTATGAAACTCGTCTTAAAAACACTGGTTTATAGAAACATTTCTTTCAGTGTACCTATACACCGAAAAAAATAATGTAGTTGAGTTAACATTTGCCTAAATGTCATTTTTGAAAATGTTGTTTCAACAAAAAACCTATTGGATTAATCTATATTTTGGTGTTAAAGCAATAGTCAGAGTTTGTCAAAGTTTATTTGTTCATTTGACAGTTAAAATATTGATTTAACATAAACTAATTTTTTGAATTAAAATGTTTATCCTATTTTGATTTAATAGCTGGAATAGGTTGAATCGACCACTGAAATGTTTAGGATTACCTAAAAAAACTATTAAATTAACGTTTAGTTGCTCTTTAATCCAAAACATTAAATTTGTTCATTTAACAAATTGTAAATGTTACTTTAAAATTTAAAATGTAAAATTTGCATTCATAAAATTGCCGAGAATGGCGCTTCGAACACCCGCGCCACGTCATTAGACGATGACGTGTTCTTACATCTCGCCTTAGTTGGCTTACGATTAGGGGTATATAAGATCAGGTAGCTGTTTGTTTTAGGTGTGTTCCACAGTGGAACTTTCACTACACCATATTGCCCGACACTGATAAGACCCTCAATACAGGGCGAAACAGCTGTCTGTCGGTATTTAAAGTAGGTGGAACACGCTCAAAACAAAAACTCTGGGCGAGGTGAAGGTTCAATTCTTTCTCTTTATATATAATAATATATTATTTCCATAATTTTGTTTTGGATACCAACCTTTAAAGAATTTTAAATTTTCAGAATGTTAATTTAACATTTTATTGGTGTTAAGTGAATATGCTAAAAAGGTCCTGGACATTTCAAGAAATTCACCTTAACGCCCTAAGAATGTTAAATTAACCAAATTAGTAGATTAGACCAAATATTCTCATTTTGTTCATTTGACTGTTATTTGTTGTTCAATTAAACAATACAATTTGACATTTTTAGATGGTTAAGTAAACGTGCAAAAACCATTGCTTGTATTTAAAGTGCATAAAGAGTTGAATTAATATTTTTGTTGTTGTTTCAACAGCTTATTTTTTTCAGTGTAGGTATACACCCCGTATGGCCGGCCAGCGAGAGCGAGAGACCGTGTGACGTCACGCGGCGCCGGGACGCCTGCGTCGCGGGGCGTATTGATCACCCCGTGGTCGAGACATCTATGACTAAGGCAAAATTTCCTGAAACACAGTACAGTCACAGAGGAAGCCGTTCGTGCGCCAGGTAGTTCGGTGTTTTTTCTTCAATTGACTTGTGAGGGTTGCAGCCCTAAGAAATACTTGTGGATATTGTTTTTTGAGTTGCTGGTCCGGTGTTAAAACACCATGGTCGAGGAGGGACCCAACATCAAACCTGTGCAAGGGGGTAAGTACGAGTAGATGTTGGGTTTTATGAGGTGGTGGAGTGAATGGAAAGTTTTATTGCTCCTTTAAATTACGTTCAAGATTTTCTGCTTGGGTTTCCAATGTATAAGTGATATGATAAATGAAATCATTAATAAAAACATACCTACTAAATGGGGTGTTAATTATTCTTACGTTATTATATTTAATTTTACAATATTTTTTATTAAAATTAATTTTTTAATTAATATTTTAATAGTATTAAGGAAATATTTTCTTTAGGTTGGTGTTACATATAGAGATGCGACTTGAAAAAAAAACGGTCCTTTTTTTTTGTTTTTTTTTCATTGTTTTTTTTTCAAATGGTCTTTTTTCATATTTTAGGTTTTTTTCAAGATTAGTCCCATTTGCCTAATTTTTTATGTTTCCAATCCAGTTCATGGACTAAAATTAGCCACTAAATGACATTTAGTAAATGTAAATACAGTTTCGCGCTATGCACGCGCCATCACCACCGAATTGACCAATAAGGGCCTCGCTTGTTTTGATTTGGTCCTAAAAAAAGTAAATACCTATAATATTTTTGATTCAGCGCTTGATTTTTCAAAAAGCTACCAAAAGCACTTTTTTATGGTTTTTAAAATCCATGTAGAGTATGGAATTTTTTTTTCAAAAAAACAATAGCAAATTCTTGTAGAACATTTATTCATTGGTGTTTAAGTCAGAACATTCCGTGTACCAAAAAAGAAAGCCAAAAAATTTCGAACTTTTTTTATTACGGTATTCGTTAGGATTGAGCGTTGCACTTTTTCATTTAAAAATCTCAAAACTAGAAACTTCACGCTTCAAATTGCTTTTTTACGGGTCCAATACGACCATTTTTAAAAGATACATACAGCTATCCAAAAAATCGCAAAAAAATTGGATTTTTTTTCCTCTAATTTTTTCTATTAGTGTAGAAGTTTTACATTGCTATTGGTTTCTTATGTGGAAATCAGAATTTTTAGTCTCGGTCAAAATTTTCAATAATGAAAAATGTAATATATTCTACATTTCACTTTATTATTAATATACATTTTACTCATAATTTCATTTTGAAAAATTACTAAATTTTTTAAGATTGATGATATTTATTGACAGAATATGCTTTATTGTAGCGGATTTGAAAAAGTTCTTTCAGCGATGCGCTTTTAATGTCATCTATGCTTGCAAAACGACGGCCCTTCAAGGTTCTCTTTATTTTTCGGAATAGGAAAAAGTCAGACAGAGGCATGTCTGGCAAATATGGAGGCTGGGGCATCATTACATTATTGTTTTTGGCCAAAAATTTTGTTCAAAATTTAACAATTTTAGAACAATTTTTTCTGCCACGCGTTTCATACCCAAAACATTCGAAAAAATTTCATGGGATGAGCCAATCGATATACCAACATCATCAGCGACTTCTCTGATGGTTTATAACCATTTCTTCCACTTTTTCCATGTTTTTATCGGTTGTTAATGTGCTTGTGCGTTCGTCATCTTCAACGTCTTCACGGCCATCTTGGAAACTCTTATACCACTTGTAAACTCTTGTTTTACTTATAGCAGACTCACTATAGGCCTTTGTTAACATTTCACAGAATTTATTTCATTTTTTAAGCAAAATTGGATACAAATTCTTTGATCCATTTTTTTTAACGAACGAAAAATCGCCGAGCTGATAAAACACGCCTAACCTTAGCGGCTGCCACAGATAAAGTAAACAATGAAAACAGCTAAAGTTATTATACTTCGGGGGCATGTATACCAACATAATAAAGAAAATTGTATGACAACCGGACCCTCCAAACCCGCGAAATTTGACAATTCCCGAAGTTATTCATAAAACAAACATCTTTAAAAAGGTAAATTACTTAAAAAAAAGATCTTAAAATTGATTTAGGTGGAACCTGCTGTAAAGCTTTTGTAAAATTATATTGTTATTTGTACTTGCATAAATACTTTAAATTAAAACTATTATTAAATAGGTTCCGATAATATACATTAATTTCATCACTGTAATTCAACCCCTTAGCGGGGCGGAATTCCCCCTTATTTTTTTTAAGTTGAAAGGGGTTTGATGTTCAGTGGCGGCTGGTGGATTTGGGTATACCGATATCTCAATTACTAGATATGGGACCCACACCAAATTTATATGAGTTTATAATGACATTAAATAAACAAGTTCTGAGCAAGCAGAATTTAAATTGAAAATTGCGAAAAAAAGATAACTTTTTTCTCGGCCGTACCGGCCCCATGGCGCCCCCAATAAATACAATATAAATTTAATTGGTGCAATTTATTATTTACCATAGTTTATCAACAAAGTTCAAATTTCATTTAAAAAATCAAAATTATACAGATTTAAACGAATTTAAAATTTTCATATTTTTTTTTCTGCACACAGCATGTGATGCGATTTAACATTTGTACATTTTAGGCATTTAGTCTTATTTCTTAAGTAATTTTACTAAAAATTTCCAAAACAAATTTTGTGCCAAGAATTTTTATTATATTTTTTTTGTCAAATTCACGGTCTTAAAAAATCGGATAATATTAAGTTTTTTTTGTAATTACAAACAAACAGTTTGCAGTGACTTTTTAGAAACTTGTTTTTTTCTCTTTTTTTAGTCACAACACATGTTTGATGGTGCTTATTTTTAATGAGTCATTAAAATTGTTCAGCCAGGAACCAAAATAATGAAGACATGAAAAGAAATTTGAATCGTTATCGTCATAATGATTTCGTAAAATTTCGTTATTCGTTCGCGAATTTTGCAAATTCCGACTAATGAATTTACATTTTCGAGTGATTTCAGCGTCGCCAGTCAACAGAAAAAGTTTTACTATTTGAGCCATACATTTGAGTAAAGTTTCATAATAGATTATGCTCTATAGAGCTATAGCTACGTCATTAATCTTTATACAAATTTATTTTACTGCAAATTCGTGTTTCTTATACAGTGTGACCCATTTGTTTGCGACACATTCTGTAAAATCTTTATGTATGGTGCGATTTTAACCGGATTTGTTTTAAAGTGTAGATCTTGATGAACTGTATTTTTGAAACAAAATACGCTATATTAGTACAAAATACAAGGCCTACTATGTCAGTTTTTAAAAGTGAATTTTTAAGAATTTATACACTGTTCAAAATTTCATGACGATTTTAACACCAAATTAACACCATACATGGTCTATATCGATACAAACCAAAATGGTGTTAAATAAGGCTCGTTGGTCCAGTGTAAATTCAAATACAAAAATGGTGTAAATTTAACTTTCACACAGTATTAAAATAAATTTTACCTGGTGTTAATTGAACTCCTTTTCAGTGTTAAATATAATGTGTTTTTGGTCAAATTAAATCATACTACACAGAAAAAAAGGAAGGAAGTTCCTTGACGCATTACAAGTATATTACCAGTGGTATTATTCCAGAAAATTGAACCTTCAACTCGCTAGAGATAATGTTTTTAGTGCGTTCCACCAACTTAAAATAGTTCTAGTATTGACAGCTGTCTCCACCTATTTAAGGTCTCTTTTTTATGGAACAACTTGTAGTGTCACACCAAAGCAAAGGACTACCTGACCTCAACAGAGGCGAGATTTAAGAACATCACGCCTATGCCGCGATCGGTAGTACCGATTCGGTACACACTATGTATAACCAGGAATGCACGGCAAATTGTTTTAATCGTTTTAACAGAGTGCTTTAGGTTGAAGTAACTCTTATTTTACAAACAACATATTTAGTAAACTGAACCATACAACGGGTTGGTTTTACTAAAGTTTCTGGGTTAATTTAACCAATTTAACTATCTGGTTTAGTACCGTCAAACTAATCTTTGTTTATATTAATCTTCCCACAGTAGATTTAAATAAATACTTATGGGTCAACTAAATATAGTTAAATGAACTAACTATTCCTTTTTTTCTGTGTAGGTGCACATCTCAAATATTTTTAGATAAACACCGTTTATTCATGGCGTTAAATTAACACCACTTGGTGTTGGATTTTGACACCATTTTAAGATTACTCTTTACACCACAGATATTTTAAACAGTGTATTAGCGATTTTTTTAAACACAATCTAAGCACGGCACTGGATTCACCACCCCTTAAAAAGACCCTTTACTAAATTTTATTGAAAAATGTTAAGTAGAAAAATGCACAATAATAACTACAAAAATTTATTCTGTCAAGTTATCCATGAAAAAACATTGAAATAAAATTAAATTTATAGTAATAGTATACACCGAAAAAAATAATGTAGTTGAGTTAACATTTGCCTAAATGTCATTTTTAAAAATGTTGTTTCAACAAAAAACCTATTGGATTAATCTATATTTTGGTGTTAAAGCAAAAGTCAGAGTTTGTCAAAGTTTATTTGTTCATTTGACAGTTTAAATATTAATTTAACATAAACTAATATTTTGAATTAAAATGTTTATCGTACTTTGATTTAATAGCTGGAATTTGTTGAATCAACTACTAAAATTTTTAGGATTACCTAAAAAAACTATTAAATTAACGATTAGTTGCTCTTTAATCCAAAACTTTAAATTTGTTCATTTAACAAATTTAAAATGTTACTTTAAAATTTAAAATGTAAAATTTGCATTCATAAAATTGCCGAGAATGGCGCTTCGAACACTCACGCCACGTCATTAGACAATGACGTTTTCTTACATCTCGCCTTAGTTAGCTTACGATTAGGTGTATATAAGATGAGATATCTGTTTGTTTAAGGTGTGTTCCACAGTAGAACTTTCACTACACCATATTGCCCGACACTGTTAGGACCCTCAATACAGGGCGAAACAGTCTGTCGGTATTTGAAGTAGGTGAAACACATGATACAAAGATGTATCATGGGTGGAACACGCTCAAAACAAAAACTCTGGGCGAGGTAAAGGTTCAATTCTTTCTATTTATATATAATAATATATTATTTCCATAATTTTGTTTTGGATACCAACCTTTAAAGAATTTTACAT